CATAGTGACCCCTCCTTGGGTTTCCAAGGTGATATCACTACAGTAGTAGATTGCCCAATCTTCCTTCTGAGGAGTGGCTGGTGAGTTTGAACCACAAGCCTTCTGGTTAGCAGTCAGATGCCTTAGGCACTACGCCACCAGAGCTCCTATATACATATATACGTGTGTGTGTGTATGTGTATATATCTACATATATATGTAGATATACTATATACATATATACACATACATATACACATACATGCCACTGGAGCTCCTTATGTGTGTGTGTGTATATATGTGTGTATTACATATATATATTTTTTGATCTGTCAGCTGAGAGAGCCTAGAAGAAATAACACCACAGTAGCATCAACAATCCTAATATCCAGATCTTAGTTTCTTTCTTTCTTTTTTTTTATACAGCCAAGAAAGCTCTCTGGAGCACAGTTCTACTCTTAGGTTCTAATACCATTCTCCAATAAAAGGAACCAGGGCTCCATAGAAAAATGGATGTTTCAAGGACTAGTGCAGGAAATATACAAGATTAGCCTGGAACATCTTGTAGTACCAGAAAGTAAGAAGTACTCAAAAGAAACAAAAAAGCTTTGATGGGGGTATGTCAAAGGAGCACAAGGACCAACTGAAAGACCTCTAAATGTTCAAAGGTAGAACAATTTGTGCAAAAAAAAAAAAAAAAAAAACACTAAATTAGTATAGGATTATACCCAGAAATATAAAACAAATATTTATGAGTCCATACAGATGTAGCTAAATGATTGAATAAGTAAATAAATGGGGGAGAAAAGACTAACCTCTCTTGTAGAAGAATTCTAAATAATTCATGTAGATATTCCACCCTCAAGGAGTGGGAGAATAACTCCCCACTATTTAGATGTAGGCTGGTCATAGTGACTTCTTTCCAAAGATTACAGCATAGAAAGGGAGGGAGGAGGTGGTAACTTTATAGTAAAGAAACCTTACAAACACTACCTCATTTAGGTGATCAAAACTAACGTCAGCAGTCATAAATCATATTTATAATTATATACACTTGATATGATCTAACAAAAATGGCAGTGTACCTCTGTGGTTTTCATCCCAGTATCCCATAACCCTGTTCTAACCATGAGAAAATCACTAGACAAATTTCATATAGTGGGAAATCCTACAAAATACATGACCAGTATTCTTCAAAAGCTATCAAGGTCATCAAAAGCCAAGAAAGTCAGAAACTGCCATAGCTAAGAGGATCCTAAACATACATGACAACTAAATGTATTGTGGTATCCTGGATGGGATCCTGGAACAGAACAAAGGACTTCAGGAGAAAACTAAGGATACCTGAAGTATGGATTGATTAATAATAATGTACCAATACTGGTTTGTTAATTGTAACAAGTGTATCATACTAATATAAGATATTAATAATAGGGAAAGTGAGTAGAGAGTATATAGGAACTATCTCAATTTTTTTGTAAATCTAAAACTTCTAAAAATTTCAGTGTATTTAAGGAGAGGTAAAAAGTTAGCTGCACAGCAATGCATATAGTATGCCATTTATCTAAAGTTCAAAACATGCAAAAATAATACTGTATATTGCATAGGGATACCAGGAAAAGCTTCCTCCTCTCATCACTTCTGTTTTACTTTTCTGTTTTCAATTTCTGTTTTTCTTTTTTACAGAATATTTGTGTTATTTTTGAGCCTATGTCTATCTTTATTTCTTTATGTGTATGCATGTATGCATATATTAATACATATGCTATAAATTATATATATACATGCATACATGCATGTATAAAGATTATACATAATATTTATGTGTATTATACATATCTGTATATGTATATGCATGTATGTTTTTGGAATAGAGAAGATGCAAACACTAACAGAACCATCTTGACCCAAAAGTCCACTTGATTTTTTTTTTTTTAATCGTGATTTGGGTGAAAGTTTACAGAGCAAATTGGCTTTTTCTGTTCAACAACTCATACACATTTTGTTTTGTGACAGTGATTGCAGTCCCCACAGTATAGCAGCACTCTTCCCACTTCCTCCCTGTGGTTTCCATTTCCTTTCTGCCTTCTGAGCTTTATCCCGGGGCGAATGCTGCCCTTTTGGTCTTGTACGGCGGTTTGTTGTAATGAGTGCATCCCTCCCTGGTGCTACTGATAACGTTATAGGCCTGTCTGTTATTTGGCTGAATGTTGAGCCACAGGAGTTTTTCAGTCCCAGGCTTGAAGGGTGTCTAGGGGCCATAGTCTCAGAGGCTCCACTAGACTCTATGAGACTAGTAAGCCTGGTCTCTTTTTATGACTTTGAGTTTTATTCCACATTTTCCCCCACTCTATCTGGAACCTCCTATTGTGAACTCTTTCAAAACAGTCAGCAGTGGTAACTGGGTACCATTTACTTCGGTCTCAGGGTTGTGGAGGCTGGAGTTCACATGGTCCATTAGTCTTTTGCTCTAATTGTTTCCTTGTGTCTTTGATCTTCTTTACTTTTCTTTGCTATGGATGGGAAGAGACCAATAGTTGCATCTTAGATGGACAGTCACAAGCTTTTAAGATCCCTGGTGTTCCTCATGAAAGTAGAATGTAGAACATTGTCTTTGGAGTCCACTTGATTTTTTTAAAAATGTTCATATCACAGGAAACAGTCTTACTATGGGACCTTAACTAACTGGTGAGAAATTTGCAGTCTGTTTTCCTTTACTCCTTTTTGTGGTTATTTATTTTGATGATGCTTTCCTAATGACTATTTGAAAGCCAAGACTAGATCACCTGAAATTACTTAAATGAATCACAAGTCAGTTATTCTATGGCCTTGCCTTTAAGATACAACTACACTTAAATCCTAAATACAGGAATAGCCAGTTTTTAAAGACTTTAAGACATAGTCTACTATTTGTTACAATTAATTATGTTTATTCATACACCTTCAAGAGTTAAGTCATTCAAGTCAGCTCTGTTTTTTAGCTCTTTGCTTTTGCTGCTCCCATCTGAGTCTTTCCAAAGTTCCTTTATACTGTAAAGTATGTCATTCATGGTAGCTAATATATAAGAGCTTGTTCTTGTTCTTGCTAATGCTCTTTTAAAAAATAAATAAGTAACATCGCATTTCTAACAGATACAATATCTTGTTTTATTTTTTCTGAGAGTGTGAGAGATTTTTTTTTAAGTTTTTCTCTCTCTTCATGGTCTCTGTTTTCTCCCATTTTCTTTCTTTTCTGTTTCATTCTGTTCCCTGTCTTTCACATTAAAAGCTTTCCTCACATGTCTGATAATATATGTTCATATTTATAGTAGAGGACTAAAAAGCTGATTGGAAGCTCTGAGTATATGAGGCCCTCATTGACTTTGAGCTTCATTTTAAGGTGATCTGCCTAGACCATTTCTTAGAGAAATTCCCATCCAAATTCATTATCTTTAGATTTTTACTCTTGAGGTATCAGAGAAAACTGTTCCAGATTCTTGCTTGGAGGGTACTTCTAGGATTGTAGGAGCCAAATAGGGGAAAAGGTCTAGAGGGCCTTCAGGATTCAGCATTGTTTGTCTTAATCTAGCCCTTGTTTTAAGAAACAGTATTCACCCTCTCAAGTATGTCTGGCATTCCCCATCTTCAGAAAATGAACCTTCAGTATTCTGCCAGAATTGAGGATGGGACTCCACCCAGTAACATATGGTGGGAGAGGGGATTAAAAGATCTAATTGGTTTTTAAATACCTTTCAATCTATTTACCTTATTTTAACACCATCTGTTCACATCCATTTCCAGAGGTATCTGAAGCTATAAATTCCTGAACTGTTTGAGGATTCTAAATGTAGATTAGATCAGTTTGGGTTTTCTCCACAGCTAGTTTTAAATTCAACTTTCTTGGATGTGCTGAGTCAGCTCTACTTAGCCAAATATTTTCTAGTTTCCAGAATGTTTTTGCTCTTGCCTCCATTTTTGTTCTTCCAGACCTTGCAGGTTTGTGTTTAATAATAGTAAAAATAAAATTCCTGTAGTTTTAGAGGTGTTTTTGGAAGGAGTGAAATTAGATGTGTGTGTTTGATCTACCCTCTTTATCTAAAACTATTTTAACTATAATGAGTTGCCTTACCTCCCTTATATGTTACCTCTGTTGTCATTGGTTTGTCTTAGGTATTATATCTGAAGAATCTCAGCCCTAGGGTGACTGAAAGGGATCTTGTCTCATTGTTTGCCCGGTTCCAGGAGAAAAAAGGACCTCTGATTCAATTCCGAATGATGACTGGACGCATGAGGGGCCAGGCTTTCATCACTTTCCCCAGTAAGTAACTTCATCTCGATAACTACTCAGTTGTAGCATCAGTTCACTAGAGACTACCTGTAACATCTCTGATTTAGATACAGCCTTATGACTTTCCCACAGCCCAGGAATCTAGTCTTTTGAATAAGCACATGGGAAGAAGGGAAAGGAAGTAAGGAAAGTATGTTTTCAGTATTCCTCTATTCCCTTTTTTGTGCTTCCTTTCCTCCATTGACAGTGGGACCACCTTACCCCAGTGTCCTATTGTGGTAAGAAAGATCTCAATTTCTACAACCTTGGTACTTCTTCCCCACCATACCAAAATTTACTTTCCCTTTGCTGACAATAGTCTTTCTGGTCCAAGTAATAGTTGTATTTCTTATTAATTAATAGATTAGTATTCTGCTCAGAACACATGTACATGCCTTTAGAACTCAGTGACTATAAGAAAATATGCTAATTCTTTAATAATTCATAATTAATTAACAGATGATGATATTGTTTATTTCTTCTAAATAATATTTGCATGTTAATACTTGGCTTCAGTGTTTTAATCCAAAGGAATGAATAATATAGGAATTTCCATTTCTATGACAGACCAGAAAGTATGTCTTTTTGCAGGGAGCTTGGGTAGGAGCTGTACCTTTCATTGTTCCTAAACTATCGTCATTTATAAACAACATACTCACTTAAGTGTAACCAAGTGCTTTCACACATTAGTGATGCCAAACTCACCTCCACTGTTTTCATCTAGTCTCGTACCACTCTTCATATCTTATTGAATGTTTGTAGAATATTATTGAATCCTCTATACCAGTGGTTTTCAGTCTTTTCAAGTGTGAAGATCCATTTTAAACTTGAAGAGTATTTCATAGATACCCTTCCCACATAATATGATCCATTAATTGAAGACTATGTAATGAGAAAAAGGCTATATATTGAAAAAAATTCAATGTAATTTTAAATGTATAGCTGTTTTATTAATCATAACAGCAGCTATACATATTTGAAAATTTATAATATATATTATAAATTATTGGTTCAATCTAAAGACATTATTTGTCTGCTTATAATTTCACAGATTCCTGGCAATAATTCCATCCCTTATTTCCCACATCCAGGCTTGGAGACCATGAGTTGAACACTCCTGCTATACACTACATACTATCACACCTCAAGGTCCCACATGCCTGCAAGGGTCCTTAAACTTATTTATCCCATATGAGGGCTCCCACAACTATTAGCCTATCAAAAGAAAAGAGTAGCAAAATGCCTTCAATCCCATGATAGCTTCTTTTATTTATGTTACTGATTTGGGAAATGATTGTTGTTGTTGTTGTTGTTTGCCGTCGAGTCGGACCCGACTCATAGCGACCCCTCCTTGGGTTTCCGAGGCAGTATCACTACGGAAGTAGATTGCCCCATCTTCCTTCCGAGGAGTGGCTGGTGGATTTGAACCGTCAGCCTTCTGGTTAGCAGTCAAGTGCCGTAGCCACTATGCTACCAGAGAAATGATTAGGTTCTCATATTACCTATAATCTGTTATCTAAGATCGAGCCACATATATATTTGTTACAGTTTAGAATTCTTCAGCATACTGGCATATAACCTTGTGTACAACCTTGTTTTTTAACCTGTATATTTCAATTAGGAGAAACCTTCAAACATTCATTTTAAGTTTTTATTGTCATTATTCATAGCCATTAGCTTATTCTTGCTGAGTTAAACAAATTGGAGAATATGGTAAAGAGAACTACCAATGACTATTTGGCCTTATGGCTTGACATTTAATTCCAGGGCAAAAGAACCTAAATTAGACTTGGAATAGAATTGAATTATTGACTATGTATATTAATGTTTTTCTCTCTTTTAGATAAGGAGATAGCATGGCAAGCATTGCATCTACTAAATGGATATAAACTACGTGGAAAAATATTGGTGATAGAGTTTGGAAAGAACAAAACACAACAGTCAGATCCCCAGGCTGGTTCTCTCATATCGTGTGCTACAGATAACACTACAGAAATCAGTGACAGCTAGAAAATAGATTGTGAACTCAGAGAGGTCTTTCTTGCAACAGAAATTTGGATCTAGGATTCGTGTATACATCATAGTTTATTTGGAATTGAAGAGGAGAAACAAAAAGAAGGGAAAAAATCTATTAAGTCAATCCCTGTCTGTCAGGATATAGAGAGAGTTGGTAGGAAACATTTTCTATAATCAAAGACTGTATAGGACAGATATATGCTGAGAATAAAGGGTAGGGCAGGAAAAGTATCTTTATAGAAAGGATTATTTTATTTCCAAGATTTTTTTGTTTAATATTTATACTTTTCCTGGCATCTTCAATGTTTACATTCTTTATAAGACTGCCTCCTATTTATGGAATAAAAAACTAGTTTAATTTTGAAATATTTATTTACTAGAACCCATCTGTCCTTAATTTCATCCACCTAGTAAACAAAAGACCAGGACCCTAAGCCTAAACATCAGCAAATGCTGTTACGTCAGAACTATCAGCAGTAGCAGTAGGTAGTTTCATAAGTCAGTTGACATATTTAATGACTGCTTCCCCACTAAGTGATCAGTGTCTTCAAAAAAAATATTTTTCTAAAGGAATCTTTTACATCAAAATATGGTGTTCTATGGCCATTTAAGCTAGTTACCATTGAGTAATCATTCAATTAAAAGCAATAAAGATTAACTAAATCTCTAGTATATGTCAGATATTAGATACAAATTTTGGAAGAAGAAATACTAGAAAAGAATACTAAAGGGGAGTGGGAAGAAAGAGTTCTTTAGAAAAGAGGTAACCCATCCCAAATCTCCCAGTTGTTTGTTTAGAGCTACTGGAGAATAGAAAAACAATGTGGTATACAGGAAGTAGTGTGAGACTTTGGAGTCAGACCTGTGTTTAAACCTCAGAGCCACACTTAACACTCTGTGATATTAGCAAGTCACCTAATCAGAGCCTCAGTTTTCTCATCTATTAAATGAGGATGATAACACCACTTACCTCATTGAGTTGTGAGGATTAAATGACATGGTATTATGGAAGTTGAAGAAGAGAAAGAAAAAGGAATGAAGGAAAATCAACAATCTAGAAACCTGTGGGACACCATTAAGCACATCAACATATGTCTGATAGGAGTATCAGACAGAAAGAAGAGAGAATATTTTTCTGCAAAAAATATTCAAATACTTAGTGGCTGATAACTTCCAAAATTTGATGAAAAACAAGCTATGTATCTAAGAAGCTCAATGAACCCCAAGTAGGATAAACACACACCAAAAAAATCCATATAAACAAACACATCCTGATGAAAATGCTGAAAGGCAAAGATAAAGAGAAAATCTTGAGAGCAACAGGACAGAAACAAGAGAATCCCAATAATAGAGCTGACTTCTCATCAGAAATAATGGAGGCAGCAGTGAAATAACATTTTCAGAGTGCTCAAAAGGAAAAAAAAAATGGTCTGTCAAGACTCCTATATCCAGCAAAGCTAATTTTCAACAATGAAGGTGAAATAAAGACATTCTTAGATAGTCAAAAACTGAGAAGATTCACTGCTAACAGACCTAACTTACAAGAAATACTGAAGGAAGTTCTTCAGACTGAAAGCAAATGACACCACACAGTAATTTGAAAGTAGGAATAAAAAGGTAATTATGTGATTATAAAAGATATTATAAATGTGTATTTCTTTTCCTTCTCTTAAATGATATGAAAAGCAGCTCTATCAAACAAAATGTATATCATTGTAATACTGGATTTATAATATACAGAAATGTAATATATTTGTAAATAACAGCACAAAGGAGGTTGGTGGAAGCAAAGATGTATTGGACTAAAGTAATGACTAGATGATAAACCTACAGAAACAAATTAAGAAAACCAGAAATGGGAAATAATATTAACATAACAAAGCTATAAATATATACTATTTCTTCTCCCAGCTTCTTTGGAAGACATAGTTTTATATAAAATAATAATTATGACAATATATTGCTGAGTTTGTAACATGTAGAAGTAATATGTATAACAGTAATACTAAAAAAAAAAAGGGAGAAAAGAGACTAGAACTGTATAGGAATAAAATCTCTGTATCTCATTGGAATTAAGTTAGTATAAATCGGAATCAAATTCTGATAAGATGTATATGATAAACCCCAGAGCAGCCACCAAGAAGATAAAAAGTATAGCAAAGAATTGTTAAACAAATTAAAATGTTACATTAGAAATACTCAATACAGGGAGTTCCGGCAAGATGGCAGACTAGGTAGAAGGACTGCACAGACCCTCTTCAACAAAAAAAGGGAAACCAATTAACACAGACACAGAAGATAATCTTGGACCCCTGAGCCTTGAAGGGAAGGTTACAGAAGTGGACTAAACCCCAACTAGCAGAAGAATTTGC